TATATTTTATGCTTTGTATTTTTATATTACTTGTTATCCCGCTTCGATTTGTAGGGAGAGGCGGGAAATATAAATAAAAATTATTTATTATTATTATTATTATTATTATTATTATTATTATTATTATTCCAGACAAAGGTATTTAAAGTCACCTTCTCCAACATTATCCTGTCTAGCTGCTCAGATCTTCTGGAGATGTCTTGCTCCATGTCTTGCTACAAAATGAAGTGTTTCCATTGGGTACAACAGGTCACCATCTTCTCCACTCTCATGCCCAGATTCTGGAAGTGCTGTTTGCCTCATGAATCAAATATGGCTCTTGTCACTTTGGTCCTTGACAAGACCACAGTAAGGCTTTTGGCTGAGCTGTTTCCCTAGTATAGTATTCACAATACTAGAAATACACTTAGTATACACATAAATCTTTCTGGTGTCCCAAGGCTGTGTATAGAAGTTTATTACCACAAATGGAAAAGAGGGACTTTACTTTTTCATAGTGGCAACTCTCATGCCACGCTAGTAGCTTGAAAGTGTACTTTGGAGTGAGCAGTGGCTTTAGAGTTCCATGGAGAGGAATGCTAAAATAAATAAATAAATCACTTTGTTGTTGTTGTGTGCCTTCAAGTCATTTCTGACTTATGGCAACCCTAAGTCGAACTTATCATGGGGCTTTCTTGGCAAGATCTGTTCGGAGGAGGTTTGCCACTGCCTTCCACTGAGGCTGAGAAAGTGTGACTTGCCCAAGGTCATCCAGTCGGTTTCATGGCTGAGTAGGGAATTGAACCCTGGTCTTCAGAATCATAGTCCAACACTCAGACCACTATGCCATTGCAATTGATCAGTTCAATCTTTGGCAGGAGTGATCCCACTGAGCAAGGGGTGAAAGACAGTAGAAGAGAGAAAGAGGGGTGGGAGAAAGAGATTTTGAGAGGCAGATTTTTAGAGAGAGAATCTGAAAGAAAAGGAAAGCCAAAGGAGGGAGAAAAAAGATCAAGCAGAAAGACAGAGAAAGGAGGAGGAGGAAATGGTGGGAAAGGGAGATTTTAACAAGGGGTGCAAGAAGGAGACAGTGAAAACAAGAGTGATTAAAAAGAGAAAGAAAGGGGTGGCCCTTTTCAGTTTTAGCTCTAGTCCCACTTAATGCTCACATTAAATCCTATTCACATGAAACAATGTAGCCCTCAAAGTGGGTGAAGGGATGCTCCATATCCCTGCTGTACCTCAGTGGAGAAGAAACTTGAAAAGGATGAGGCTCTCTCTTTGGTCTATTGTTTTCCGTAGTCTATTTTATTCCTAAACAGGTCACTTTAACCCATATTTCATTATTCTCAAAGCCTTAGCAATCATACACACATATTTCCTCTTCAACAACTCTGCCACAATTTTTTTTTTGCATATGTCTGTTTGTATCCCTTTATGTCCTTTTTCTTTTCTTTTTTCTGCATCTGTGTTTGATTTAAATATTTTATGGAAATCAATAAAGATTAATTGAAAAACATTTTTTGCATCTTCTATCAACAGTTTGTTCCACTGCCCAAATATTCCTGTAGATTAAAAGTGGCAAAGAATTAACTTCCTGTGACTGAATACAGCAGTGAAATTTGGAAAAAAGCACAAGTTTGAAATTTGTTGTTATTGTTGTGTGCTTTCAAGTCATTTCCAGCTTATGGCAACCCTAAAGCAAAGCTATCATGATTTTTTTCTTGGCAAGTTTCCTCAGAGGGGTGTTGTCATTGCTATCCTCTGAGGCTGAGAGAGGGTGAATTGCCCAAAGTCATCCAGTAGGTTTCATGGCTTTGTGGGGATTTGAGCCCTAGTCTCCAGAATCATAGTCCAACACTCAAACCACTATGCTGTGCTGGCTCTCTAAACCATTGGGATGATGGCCATTTGTCTTAGAAGGCATGGTAATAATTGTCTGCTAATAATAAGCTTTCTGACTCAAAAACATATAGATATATGTGTGTATTCCTCCTCCCTCAGTCAGGTGGGGATGTATCTCCTTTTCACCTCTTAGAAATTTTAAAACAAAGTTCAGAGAGAACGCAGTATGAAGATTTTCAGTATCAATAATATATGACATTTTAGATTTACTGCAAGTGAACTTGGTGATATTTGCTCAGTGAATAGATTTACAATTAAGCATCCTGGCAAAAATATCTGAAGTTTTAGGGATCCATTGTGATGCTTGTGATACTCCACACCCCCATACAGACTTATATAGCCCTTCCCAGAATAACATGCTTTGTCCTCTCTGTTCTCTGCTAATTCTAAGAATGACTTCATCAAGTCAACTGTGGACATGTGCCACAGAAAGCCTAGTTATATTACAAAACAGGTAGAAATAAACCAATGACAATGACCATCATATCATTAATTACATTCAAACATCATTGGCAGTGCCAACAAGAATGTTAACCCCTCATCAGCATAGTTATTGTTGAGCTGCTGCAACACCACAAAAGACCCACCAAAATACCCAATTCAGGGAATGAACAGCTCAGCAACAGAATTTTGGCAATCCACATTTAATGCTGGATTATCAGCATGGCTGTGGTTAAAACTCCTACATATACTATCAGAATGGAAGGAGTTGTGTGAGGTAGCCTGAGGTCTGGGAACCTGATCAGGAATAAATCTTCATAATAGTGAAGTAATGAACCAAGAAGTTGGCAAAAAGAAATCCCATAATGAGATTTGTCAGCATTTTTTTCCTAGTAGGGCTCAGCAGTCTAAGGGTTCATCATTCTAGAATGAGCCGTGATGGTGCAGTGGTTAAATGCCAGTACTGCAGCCACAAGGTTGTGAGTTTGATCCCAGGCAGGGCTCCAGGGTCGATTCAGCCTTACATCCTTCTACAGGTCACTAAAATGAGTACCCAGCTTGTTGGGAGCAATAAGCTTACAAGTTGCAAATTGCTTAGAGACTATTTAGTTCAGTATGAAGCAGTATAGAAATGTAAATGCTATTGCTATCTACACTGAAGAAATATTGCAGTTTGGCATCAGTTCAACTGACATAGCTCTATCCTACACAATCCTGGGATTTGTAGTTTTGTGAGGCAGCAGCACTCTTTGGCAGAGAAGCCAAGAGATCTTCTACCAAGAGATCCTGGTGTTCCATAGGATGAAGCTACAGCATTTAAAATGGTGTCAAACTGCATTATTTCTACAGTGTAGCTGCACCCTAAGAGGCAAAAGTTCCGCAGGTGATGCCCAAAACTTAATCTGCTGAATTGTCCAAGGTGTAGAAGATCTGCCAGGATAAAAACTGATTGCTATACAACTGAGTGGAACTGTCACCACACCCCATCCCACTGCTTTATGGCAGTCTTCACTTATTTGTAAATGTGTGGTACTTTTAACTTTCCCCCCTAAACATATAGCTCCTTCAGATTTTATTCATATTATGTGAATCTCAAACACTTTGCCACCTTCTCAGCATGCTAACCAAAACTTCAGTAGTCAGCACCATCGAGATACCATGGACCTTATCACACAGGGGAAATCCCATGCAGAAACAGGATTTAAAAGGGGGGAGAGCCACAAAAGCAGATAGATTTTCACACACGTCAATTTTAAAGTGTGCTTAACCCAAGCGGAAAGCAGTCAAAAGCCACTTCTTTTTACTTTCGGGATCTTCTGAAAGTAAAAAGAAGTGGCTTTTGACTACGTTCCATTCATAGAATCATAGAATCATAGAGTTGGAAGAGACCACAAGGG